GTGATATCTCTGTCTGGTTGTCATTTCAAGGTAATACTGACCTCAAAGAATGATTTTGAAGGTATTCCCACCTCTCCTATTTTTTAGAATAGTTGGCAAAGAATTGATACTCTTTCTCCTTTAAATGTTGGGAAGGTTTCACTAGTGAAGACACCCCTGCCTGGGGTTTTCTTGTGGGAAGTAAAGTTTAAGTTATTTAGTCTCTTAACTTATGGGTCTATTCAAATTTTCTATTCTTGGGGCGGTTTTGAGAGTTCGTGTGTTTCTGGGAATTTGTCTATTTCATCTAGGTTATCTAAGTCATTGCTGTATAGTTTCCATAGTATTCCCTTATAGACCTTTTGCTTCTGTAAACTCAGTAGTGATGTACCCTCTTTAATTCCTGAGTTTAGAAACTTGAGACCTTTCTTTTTCTTGGTCAGTCCAGCTAAAGATTTTTTTTTTCAATCTTGCTGATCTTTTCAAAGAACCAACTTCTGGTTTTGTTGATTTTCTCTACTGTTTTTATATTCTCTATTTCATTTATTTTCACTCTAATTTTTATTATTTCCTCCCATCTTCTTGCTTTAAGCTTAGTTTGTTCTTGTTTTTTTTTCAGTTTCTTAAGGTGGAAGATTAGGTTATTGACTTGAAATCTTCTTTTGTAATATAGGGTGTTTACAGTTATTAATTTCCCTGTGAGCACTACTCTAGCTGCATCCCATAAATATTGGTATGTTGTGTTTTTCATTTATCTCCACGTATTTCCTATTTTTCCTTGTGATTACTTTTGACCAATTGCTTATTCAGGAGTATGATGTTTAATTTCCACATATGTGTGATTTTCCCAAATTTCCTGTTATTGATTTGTAACTTCATTCCGTTGTGATTGGAGAACATATTTCATATAATTTCAATCATTTCACATTTATTGAGGCTTGTTTTACGAGTTAGCATATGGTCTTTCTTGGAGAATGTTCTGTGAGTACTTGAGAAGAATGTTTATTCTGTTGCTATTTGTTGGAGTATTCTCCAGATGTCAATTAGATCAGTTCGGTTGATAGTGTCATTCCAGTTTTCTTCATCATTGTTGATTTTCCATTATTGAGAGTGAGGTATACAAGTCTCTAACTATTATTGCTGGATCGTCCATTTATCTACAATTTTGTCAGTTTTCCCCATGTATATTAAGGATCTTTTGTCAGGTGCATATGTGTTTATAATTGTTATAGTTTCTTGGTGAATCAACCCTTTTATCATTATGAAATGTCGTAACCTTTTAAATATTTCTCAGAAGCATTCTATTTCCCTCCATCCCACTACTAGTCTAAAGCAAGCTGACATCATCTCTTGACTGATTTTTCTAAAATGCAAAGCTCACCATATCACTCCCTTGCTTAAATTCTTTCTCTCCAATAATTACTAGATAAACTCTGTTAAGCCCAAGAGAGAAGATAAACTTCCCGAGATCAAATTAAAACTGTGACAGAGCTAGGACTACATTCTAGGTTATCCAACTTCTGGTTGAACATTCCCTATACTGTATGTACCACCGAGATGGGAACTCTGGATTGGCCCCTACAATCTTCATTTAATTCTCCCTCTTGTTTGAGAAGTTGAAAAGTCAAAAAGTCCACTTTTTGTACTTTCTTGCGGCCATAGTTCTGGAGGCAAAATAGGGTCCATCAATTGGAATCAACATTTTCCGGCCACATTTTGCCCGTTTTGACTGGCAAGTGAGTCGTGCAGATCTGCAATACAAATAAAATAACATTTCGGTGTTCAATCACCAGCTTTAGATGCCGATGATCAGTTAATGTGGTGACAGCAGCAGCGGGTTTTCATTTTGGCTTTCGGCCTCCTGGATCACGGCTCTTGAAGTGGATTCTTGAATTCATAGATCCAGTTGCGGCCTCATAAATACTGGCAACTGGTGGTCAGTTCTCTGTTCTTCTGGGAGTTATTCCTTGAGACTCAGCCTAGAACCTGTTCCTCCTTTCCCTCCAAGTAGTTTGTAAGCATCCAAGTTTTTATATTAAATTCCTTCCTACGTCTAAAATCCACATGGGATTTCTGCTTCTTGGAATCCTTCGAACATCTAAATTATAATTATGACCTCCTTAAAAAGACACACATCCTCTTAAATGACACCTTTTTGCTTTACGATGAGATATCTTTATTGTGCATACACAAAAGTGGATCTATTCTAGGCCCTAGTGTATCTCGTATTCCCCCCTCACCCCCCGCAATGGGTTCTGTTGCAAGAGGTCACTCTCTGCACACTTCATCAAGGAGTCAATAATCAATAATGTTTCTCGGCCTCTTAACCATCTTGTTCACATATTCAAACTAATTAACCTTAAACAATGAAATCAAGGCCTTTATTAACATGAGTTAGTTACTGTACCATATTGCCAGTCTCCATTTTTCTTATTGCCTCATTTTTTAAAGACACAAAGAACAAAATAGGTCTCATCGTGCCAGCCTAGTATTATCATGGGAAAATTATTGGAGTCTAAGAAGACAACTGAAGGCATTTCCTCAGTTGCTTTACAACCTTGTAATGGTAGCTTTTGCAGAGTTAAGGTCAGTCCCATGTCAGATTTAGTCGATGTACAATTTGGCAAGACAAAGCCGTATTGGAGGGACTGATAGAGTATTGTCGACTGCTTATTTCTGTACCCTAACCACAATTCAGTGTATTCACGGGTTTCAGAAAATCCTCTGTGTCAGTCAGGATTCTTCATAGAAACAGAACCGACATGATATATATAGATTCTTTCAAAGAATTGGTTCACATGACTATGGAGGCTGGGAAGTCCAAAATCTGCACAGTGGCTGAGCAGGCTTAGGATCCAGGGAAAAGCGGATGTTGCAGTTCAAGTCCAAATGTTTTCTGCTGGCAGAGTTGTCTCTTGCTGGAGGAAATTAGTCTTTGGGGCTATCCAAACCTTCAACTGATGAATGAGGCCCACCCACATTATGAAGGGCAATCCGCTTTACTCAAAGTCCACCAATCTAAGTGTTAATCTTATCCAAAAACACATCCGGAATCATGTGACCGCATATCTGGGCACCATGGCCCAGGCAAGTTGGCACCTAAAATTAACTAGCACACCCTCTAAAGGTTGGTCATTCTCCTAAGAAATATATAGGGCGGGGGGAAAGAGGGAATGTTAGCCTTAGATGGGTGGATTCCACAGGGGGTCCCCAAATGTCTCCTTTACCACTCCTGAGGAACTGCTTATGAACTGGAATGTTTAGACAAATAAGTAGGCCCAAGACTCGAAGTATTTTATAGGGTTCAAGCTTTACGAGCTGTGCCTTTTTCTTGAATTTCTCTTCAGATGGGACCATAGCAGATTAGGGAAGTTTTGTCACGAGGTAGAGGAGTGCAAAGAGCAAGTAACTCCATCTGTGAGAATTATTATATGCCAACCCGAATTTTACAATACGTAAAAAAATGGAATGCTGTTCATTAATTAAAAACGATAAAGATGATAATTAGGAACACGGAAAAATAATTAAGAGAACATATTACATCCACAAAAACATTGGTCAAAGAGAAATCTTGAAAAAAACACAAAGGTATGCTAATGGCCCTGAGGTTTCTTTTCGGGGTGATAAAAAATTCTACAAGTCTGTGAATACACTGAAATCCATTGCATTTTATACTTTAAGTTAGTGAATTGTGTGACATGCGAATGATATTTCAATAAAGCAATTGTAACACAAAAAGAGAACACACAGACATTAAAGCATTTCTTATAAGAGTGTCATAGAATTCTGGGCCAAACTTCCTTTTATTTTAGCTCTTGTGAAATAATAAGTGATTCTTTTAATTTAGGAGAGGGTTTCTTTGTAGCACTGTAACTTCAGGAGATTTCTTTTTTCTTCCTGAATGTTATACATTGTTGTATAACTTTTTTGCGCATATTATGTAAAAAACACAAACTTCCATTATTTCTTCGAATGATGTTAATATGACATTTTTAACAAGTTAATTAAAGAGGCTGCTGAGGTATGCATTTTATGGGTCTCAGGATTTATGGATTTATGGGCCTCAGTCTGTGACATTTCCAAACCGGCTTTCTTAAAAAGCAAGAGCCAGCTACCAAAGTAAAGTGTCCTACAGAGATCGAAATATTATTTTGTATTCTCGCCTCCCAGCCAAAGAGGAATCTATTTCACAGCGCGTTGAGTAAGTGATGTCACTTTTCTTAAAACGAGATGTGAATTTCTGGCCGAGGACAGGAAGAAGCCTTGTACTTAGCAATGACAGACACTGGAGAGTATTTTTAATGTCCAGACGATACCGGGGATGTGAAGAGAAAGAAAAAGGCACCGCACGTTTGTGCTTTGTGCGAGGGGTGTTGCGGTTCGCTGTCTCTGGGTCTTCTCCGCGACTTCATCATCCATCAGCCGTTGTCTTTGCGTGACGCTAGCAGGTTGGGCCCAGCTTGAGAGCCGCTTTGGAGAAGCTTGTGTGGAGATACCGTTTTAACAACCGTTTTTGCAGTACTTTTTCTTTTTTACAATGTGTAGCACGAGGCACGCGAGGAGAGAAGTGAGAGGCCGGGTAGAGCCGCGGACGGCCGGGCAAGGCAGGGTCTCTAAGCCCCACAAAAGCGAGTAAAGGCCCCGACAGGGAGACTTGGCAACGAAGTGGCGGGCGGAGGAGAACGGGAGAGGGACCGAGGGAGGAAGGATGGGCTGGCGGAGGGATGGCGCCGGAGGCCGGCGTGAGCAGCGGGAGGGGAGGTCCGGGCGCGGGG